CTATAAGAAGACACGCCAGAACATAGATGATACCACATCATGTCACAACATAGACTGGACCGACCATATGTAGACACGCCAGCATGTAGACTGGACCGACAATAAGAAGACACGCCAAAATGTAGACTGGACCGACTAGAAAAGACACGCCAGAATGTAGACTGAACCGACTATAAGAAGACACGCCAGCATGTAGACCAGACCGACTATAAGAAGACACGCCAGCATGTAGACTGGACCGACTATAAGAAGACACGCCAGCATGTAGACTGGACCGACTATAAGAAGACACGCCAGCATGTAGACCGGACCGACTATAAGAAGACACGCCAGAACATAGATGATACCACATCATGTCACCGCATAGACTGGACCGACCATACGTCAACACGCCAGCATGTAGACTGGACCGACTATAAGAAGAACGCCAGAACATAGATGATACCACATCATGTCACCGCATAGACTGGACTGACCATACGTCAACATGCCAGAATGTAGACTGGACCGACTATAAGAAGACACGCCAGAACATAGATGATACCACATCATGTCACCGCATAGACTGGACCGACCATACGTCAACACGCCAGAATGTAGACTGGACCGACTATAAGAAGAACGCCAGAACATAGATGATACCACATCATGTCACCGCATAGACTGGACTGACCATACGTCAACATGCCAGAATGTAGACATGACCGACTATAAGAAGACACGCCAGCATGTAGACTGGACCGACTATAAGAAGACACGCCAGAACATAGATGATACCACATCATGTCACCGCATAGACTGGACTTACCATACGTCAACATGCCAGAATGTAGACTTGACCGACTATAAGAAGACACGCCAGCATGTAGACTGGACCGACCATACGTCAACACGCCAGCATGTAGACTGGACCGACTATAAGAAGACACGCCAGAATGTAGACTGGACCGACTATAAGAAGAACGCCAGAACATAGATGATACCACATCATGTCACCGCATAGACTGGACCGACCATACGTCAACACGCCAGAATGTAGACTGGACCGACTATAAGAAGACACGCCAGCATGTAGACTGGACCGACCATACGTCAACATGCCAGAATGTAGACTTGACCGACTATAAGAAGACACGCCAGCATGTAGACTGGACCGACCATACGTCAACACGCCAGAATGTAGACTGGACCGACTATAAGAAGACACGCCAGAACATAGATGATACCACATCATGTCACAACATAGACTGGACCGACCATATGTAGACACGCCAGCATGTAGACTGGACCGACTATAAGAAGACACGCCAAAATGTAGACTGGACCGACTAGAAAAGACACGCCAGAATGTAGACTGGACCGACTATAAAAGACACGCCAGAATGTAGACTGAACCGACTATAAGAAGACACGCCAGCATGTACACTGGGCCGACTACAAGAAGACACGCCAGCATGTAGACTGGACCGACTATATGAAGACACGCCAGAACATAGATGATACCACATCATGTCACCGCATAGACTGCACTGACCATACGTCAACATGCCAGAATGTAGACTTGACCGACTATAAGAAGACACGCCAGCATGTAGACTGGACCGACCATACGTCAACACGCCAGCATGTAGACTGGACTGACTATAAGAAGACACGCCAGAATGTAGACTGGACCGACTATAAGAAGAACGCCAGAACATAGATGATACCACATCATGTCACCGCATAGACTGGACCGACCATACGTCAACACGCCAGAATGTAGACTGGACCGACTATAAGAAGACACGCCAGCATGTAGACTGGACCGACCATATGTAAACATGCCAGAATGTAGACACGCCAGCATGTAGACTGGACCGACCATACTTCAACACGCCAGAATGTAGACTGGACCGATTATAAGAAGACACGCCAGAACATAGATGATACCACATCATGTCACAACATAGACTGGACCGACCATATGTAGACACGCCAGCATGTAGACTGGACCGACTATAAGAAGACACGCCAAAATGTAGACTGGACCGACTAGAAAAGACACGCCAGAATGTAGACTGGACCGACTATAAAAGACACGCCAGAATGTAGACTGAACCGACTATAAGAAGACACGCCAGCATGTACACTGGGCCGACTACAAGAAGACACGCCTGAATGTAGACTGGACCGACTATAAAAGACACGCCAGAATGTAGACTGAACCGACTATAAGAAGACACGCCAGCATGGAGACTGGACCGACCATACGTCAACACGCCAGAATGTAGACTGGACCGACTATAAGAAGACACGCCAGCATGTAGACTGGACCGACCATACGTCAACATGCCAGAATGTAGACTGGACCGACTATAAGACGACACGCCAGAACATAGACGATTCTACATCATGTCACAACATAGACTGGACCGACCATACGTCAACACGCCAGAATGTAGACTGGACCGACTATAAGAAGACAAGCCAGAACATAGACGATACCACATCATGTCACAACATAGACTGGACCGACCATACGTAGACACGCCAGCATGTAGACTGGACCGACTATAAGAAGAATGCCAAAATATAGACTGGACCGACTATAAAAGACACGCCAGAATGTAGACTGAACCGACTATAAGAAGACACGCCAGAATGTAGACTGGACCGACTATAGAGGATACACGCCAGAATGTAGACTTGACCAACTATAAAAGACACGCCAGAATGTAGACTGAACCGACTATAAGAAGACATGCCAGAATGTAGACTGGACCGACTATAGAGGATACACGCCAGAATGTAGACTTGACCAACTATAAAAGACATGCCAGAATGTAGACTGAACCGACTATAAGAAGACATGCCAGAACTTAGACTGGACCGACTATAAGAAGACACGCCAGCATGTAGACTGGACCGACTATAAGAAGACACGCCAGCATGTAGACCGGACCGACTATAAGAAGACACGCCAGAACATAGATGATACCACATCATGTCACCGCATAGACTGGACCGACCATACGTCAACACGCCAGAATGTAGACTGGACCGACTATAAGAAGAACGCCAGAACATAGATGATACCACATCATGTCACCGCATAGACTGGACTGACCATACGTCAACATGCCAGAATGTAGACTGGACCGACTATAAGAAGACACGCCAGAACATAGATGATACCACATCATGTCACCGCATAGACTGGACCGACCATACGTCAACACGCCAGAATGTAGACTGGACCGACTATAAGAAGAACGCCAGAACATAGATGATACCACATCATGTCACCGCATAGACTGGACTGACCATACGTCAACATGCCAGAATGTAGACTTGACCGACTATAAGAAGACACGCCAGCATGTAGACTGGACCGACTATAAGAAGACACGCCAGAACATAGATGATACCACATCATGTCACCGCATAGACTGGACTGACCATACGTCAACATGCCAGAATGTAGACTTGACCGACTATAAGAAGACACGCCAGCATGTAGACTGGACCGACCATACGTCAACACGCCAGAATGTAGACTGGACCGACCATACGTCAACACGCCAGAATGTAGACTGGACCGACCATACGTCAACACGCCAGCATGTAGACTGGACCGACTATAAGAAGACACGCCAGAATGTAGACTGGACCGACTATAAGAAGAACGCCAGAACATAGATGATACCACATCATGTCACCGCATAGACTGGACCGACCATACGTCAACACGCCAGAATGTAGACTGGACCGACTATAAGAAGACACGCCAGCATGTAGACTGGACCGACCATACGTCAACATGCCAGAATGTAGACTTGACCGACTATAAGAAGACACGCCAGCATGTAGACTGGACCGACCATACGTCAACACGCCAGAATGTAGACTGGACCGACTATAAGAAGACACGCCAGAACATAGATGATACCACATCATGTCACAACATAGACTGGACCGACCATATGTAGACACGCCAGCATGTAGACTGGACCGACTATAAGAAGACACGCCAAAATGTAGACTGGACCGACTAGAAAAGACACGCCAGAATGTAGACTGGACCGACTATAAAAGACACGCCAGAATGTAGACTGAACCGACTATAAGAAGACACGCCAGCATGTACACTGGGCCGACTACAAGAAGACACGCCAGCATGTAGACTGGACCGACTATATGAAGACACGCCAGAACATAGATGATACCACATCATGTCACCGCATAGACTGGACTGACCATACGTCAACATGCCAGAATGTAGACTTGACCGACTATAAGAAGACACGCCAGCATGTAGACTGGACCGACCATACATCAACACGCCAGAATGTAGACTGGACCGACCATACGTCAACACGCCAGCATGTAGACTGGACTGACTATAAGAAGACACGCCAGAATGTAGACTGGACCGACTATAAGAAGAACGCCAGAACATAGATGATACCACATCATGTCACCGCATAGACTGGACCGACCATACGTCAACACGCCAGAATGTAGACTGGACCGACTATAAGAAGACACGCCAGCATGTAGACTGGACCGACCATACGTCAACATGCCAGAATGTAGACTTGACCGACTATAAGAAGACACGCCAGCATGTAGACTGGACCGACCATATGTCAACATGCCAGAATGTAGACACGCCAGCATGTAGACTGGACCGACCATACTTCAACACGCCAGAATGTAGACTGGACCGACTATAAGAAGACACGCCAGCATGTAGACTGGACCGACCATACGTCAACATGCCAGAATGTAGACTGGACCGACTATAAGAAGACACGCCAGAACATAGACGATACCACATCATGTCACAACATAGACTGGACCGACCATACTTCAACACGCCAGAATGTAGACTGGACCGACTATAAGAAGACACGCCAGCATGTAGACTGGACCGACCATACGTCAACATGCCAGAATGTAGACTGGACCGACTATAAGACGACACGCCAGAACATAGACGATTCTACATCATGTCACAACATAGACTGGACCGACCATACGTCAACACGCCAGAATGTAGACTGGACCGACTATAAGAAGACACGCCAGAACATAGACGATACCACATCATGTCACAACATAGACTGGACCGACCATACGTAGACACGCCAGCATGTAGACTGGACCGACTATAAGAAGAATGCCAAAATATAGACTGGACCAACTAGAAAAGACACGCCAGAATGTAGACTGGACCGACTATAAAAGACACGCCAGAATGTAGACTGAACCGACTATAAGAAGACACGCCAGAATGTAGACTGGACCGACTATAGAGGATACACGCCAGAATGTAGACTTGACCAACTATAAAAGACACGCCAGAATGTAGACTGAACCGACTATAAGAAGACACGCCAGAATGTAGACTGGACCGACTATAGAGGATACACGCCAGAATGTAGACTTGACCAACTATAAAAGACACGCCAGAATGTAGACTGAACCGACTATAAGAAGACACGCCAGAATGTAGACTGGACCGACTATAGAGGATACACGCCAGAATGTAGACTTGACCAACTATAAAAGACACGCCAGAATGTAGACTGAACCGACTATAAGAAGACATGCCAGAACTTAGACTGGACAGACGATCCAGTTCCAACCAGGTTATTTAAGGAGGTATTCCCTTTGATCTCCTCCTCCATTTTAGATGTGATTAATAAAACAGTGTCTTGACCCAGATGACTTGGTCAATTATAGACCTATATCCTATCTTCCTTTCTTATCTAAAATTCTTGAGAAAGTAGTTGCCAAACAAGTGTGCGATCACTTCCACCATAATGAACTTTTTGAAGAGTTTCAGTCTGGCTTTAGAGCTCATCATAGCACTGAAACAGCTCTGGTGAAAGTCACTAATGATATTCTCATGGCCTCAGATAATGGACTTGTATCTGTGCTCGTCCTGTTGGATCTCAGTGCTGCATTTGATCCAGTTGATCATAATATTCTTTTAGAAAGACTTGAATATTTTGTTGGAATTAAAGGAACAGCTCTAGACTGGTTTAAATCTGATCTATCTGATCGATTTCAGTTTGTTCATGTTAATGATATATCTTCAACACGCTCAAAGGTTACCTGTGGAGTACCACAGGGATCAGTGCTAGGACCAATTCTCTTTACTTTATACATGCTCCCAATCGGTAGAGTTATTAGACAGCATGGGATTAATTTCCACTGTTATGCTGATGATACCCAGCTATATCTGTCTATAAATCCAGATGAAGCTAACCCATTACATAGATTACAGGCATGTCTGAAGACAGAAAAACCTGGATGACTCTTAACTTTCTGCTTCTGAATGCAGACAAAACAGAAGTTTACTAGTTAATATTTTAACAGTGCTTTTCCTTAAAAAATAAGGACATTTCAATGTGACCCCAAACTTTTGAACGATAGTGTACATGTATATTTAACGATTTATCTCTATATAATATATATATATCTGTATTTGTGTGCATAGGCTTGACATTACAATCCCTTTGAACCTAAATCTGCTCGGATCCAACAGGATAGATTCCTTCTTCGGCTGTTTAGCTATTTATATATGTAACAAACTGAGTGGTTAAAGACAAAATGTTCACATTTGCATAAATAATCTCACCCATCGGGGGTGAGAGAGACTCACCCATCGGGGGTGAGACTCACCCGTCACTGTGTCTTCTCTCACTCCATGTCCACAACTTTTCACGCTACAACATGACGCACATTAAAACTCAACTCCATTCCACCTATTTCTGTATAAAACTACTATTCTGATAAAACCCTTAGAGCTGACAGGACATGCCAGGTTCAGATCCAGGCCGTGTTTTTTAACCAGCCCATAATTCACTGCCACAGATATTGGAAAAAGAGCGGCAGCAGCTATTAGGAGGGATGTTATTATAACTTTTATTTTATCTGGAATAAAATTATTAACTTTGTGAGTTAATGAAGATTTGAAGCAATCTAGAACTGCAGTAAATATGAATAGAAATTTCCAGCTAGTTTAGATAATTATGTGTAGACTGAGTGCAGGATCACATCTAACTGACATCTAATGCTTTGTTTTCTCTACATCTAGAGCTTTTAGTCCTGGTTTGCTCTAGTTTATCCTCCTGGTTTAGTCCCAGTTTTAGTTCATCTTTTGCTCACAAGTTAGATAATTATCGCTCAGTCTAGTTGAATAATCTACCGTTGGATTTTAGGACGAATTAAACCAACAGAAATCTCTAAATTCTTAAAGCTTTCAGGATTTCTTCACATAAAGATCTATTGTGTTTTATTTTCCCAAGAAAAGACAAACCGCATCCAGAGAGGAGGAGGTGCAGAACGGCTCAGTTCTCCAGGATTGATAGAGGAGGAACCATGGCGATGTTCTCGTTTTATTATCGCTTATCTTATTCATTTATCCTTATTTTGGTCCATTAAATATGTTTAAAGATTTAATTTCCATCACATTTTGTAAATGAAACATGCAGAGAAGTGCCGTCTCGCGTCGCGGTGGGTTTTATAGATCTACAGCCTCCTAGAAGCTCTGAATAGTTCAGCCGTTTGGTTCCTGGATCTCTGTCAGTCATTAGTTCCTAGTTGGTTATTTTACTTGAACTTCATAGAATAATTAATAAACAAAGTTGTGAAATTCTTAGTTAACAGTATATTTAAGATGCTAGTATTTTAGTAAGGCCCATTCTGCTTTATATTCTATTCTCTGAAAATCACCAGAATATAGAAAATAATGTAGATTGTGTGAAAAAGATTCCACTTATTTATATTCACTAACACTTACTGTTCTCTAAATATTCCACATTTTATCACTTAGTTTCATTTAAATCCTCCAACCTAGAGCTGCACCTCATAGACTGCATCTAACCCTGACAGGTCTATTTCTATATCTCACTCTGCCAGCCCTCAGGTCATCTTTTCATTTCATCTCAGATATTATTCCTATTTTTCCTTGTTTCCTCTTCCAGCAGTGACGTCACCGCACTGATTAATCTCTATTATCGGTTATTTACCGTAAAACCTCCTGATTGAGGATTGTTAAATTCCGCCTGGAGGCTTTTTTAGTGTTTTACAGCAGCAGCAGGTTGATCATCTTCAGCTCACCTGAGTGCCGCTCTCACTCATCTTCCTCAGCTACTTCCGCTTCCTCATCCGTTCGGTTCTGGTTCCGGTTCTGGTCTGGTTCTGTTCTGGTTCTGGGCCAGTCTGCTTCTTTCAAAGGGGAATAAAAACCACTGCTGCTGACGGTCTCATCACTTCCGGCCACAAAATACGGCTCAGCTTCTTCTTCTTCTTCTTTTCTATCATGGCGGATCTCAAGCAGCTTTACGGTGCATACCGCCACCTACTGTTCATGAGTGTGTAGCAACATTGTTTTACATCTGTTAAATTCTATTTTTTAATTTTGTATTCTGCAGATAAATAAATAATGCTTTCCTTAATCTATAAATATCTTTTATATTTCCTTTATTTCCCAATAATCCTTTCAGACTCCATTCTTGGCCTGTCCTTTCAACGTCTCTTAATTTCTCCCTTTCAGGTTCAGATGTTTTCCAGTTCATCAATAGGTGTTCTACATTTTCTATCTCTCCACATCCTTCACATTTAGCATTATTTTTCCTCCCTATTAAATATAAATTGTCATTTAAATAAGTATGACCTACTCTTAATCTGATCATTATTATTTCTTCCCTTCGGTTTCTCTCTTTAATATTTCTATTTAATATTGACTTTTGTACTTTATATAACCTTCTTCCTTTTTTATCTTCATTCCACCTTTTTTGCCATTTTTCAATTTATTTCCTCTTAATAAATGATTCCCTTCCCCTTTCCCTAAAGGAAATGTAATTGTTATTGCCTCCTTAAAGCCCTTTTTGCTAATTTGTCTGCCTTTTCATTACAATTACATTAAACCGAAGCCAAGAGTAACGAGTAACGTTTGTTTTAAAAATGTAAGGAATAGAAAGTACTGATACTGGTGTGAAAATGTAATGAGTAGAAGTAGGAAGTAGGAGGAAAAATAAGTAATAGAGTAAAGTATAGATACCTAAAAAGTTTACTCAAGTACAGTAACAAAGTATTTTTACTTTGTTACTTGACACCTCTGTTTAAATGATTGCTCTTTGATATTGACTATTGATCTATAGAGGAAAATTTGTGGTAATGTAATTTACAAAAGAGAGTAAAGTTATTTTTTTAATGAATTTTATTTTCATTTCTTGTTATATTAATAATTTTTACTGAGAAAGCACTTCACATTACTATAATATAATTCTATCAAATTTGTTGTCATTTCTACACTCAGTTTTTTTTTTTTACAAAATGTACAGAGAAGTTTCTGATCATTATAGTTAATTTTTTCGACCGCTATGTTGCACAGAAATATGCATTGAAAGGTTAAAGGAAATTTTAATTTGAAAATGTTCTATAAATGCTCATGAATTTGAGACCAGTGTTGTTGGATGGTTTGACAGCTCCAGAAAATATGAAAGTGATTTGCAGCATTCTGCCACATCTCCAGCAGGTGTCGCCATTTCCCTGATATCTTTTTTTACTCTGCAGTTATGAAAAATCTAATAATTCTTTTCCAGCTAAATTCAGGCCAAACCTTCATCTTCCTGTTCTTGGTATTTTATCGATGCGGTCCCAATCATCCTCTGTGTGCTCTCCTTCTTACACCACAATTAATTTTTTGTCATTGTCAACACATTTTTGTCAAATCATAGTAAATAGTAAATTTATGTCTGTCTAACTAAAAACTTTTTATCAATATAAGGTTGTCTAAAATTCTTCCAAAACTCATCTTCAAGCTGTTTTTTTTTATCATTGTTTTTCATTTGATTCCATGATTTATTTGCTGGAATTGTTAACATATGTTCTCCTTTCAGACAATGTTGAGTTCAGACGTGTTTCTGACCCAGAATCTGGTTTATTGGTCGCTGAACTGGTTTCCTGTGGTTCAATCCCCATGCAGGAGCCGCAGGCCTCCAGCAGGGGGCGGCAGAGCTCCGCAGCTGTCAGCCTGCCTGCAGCTGGCCTCCCTGTCTGCCATCGATCCGCTCCTGCTGATCGCCTCCTGCTGCTCCTGCTGATCTCCTCCTGCTGATCGCCTCCTGCTGCTCCTGCTGATCTCCTCCTGCTGATCGCCTCCTGCTGCTCCTGCTGATCTCCTCCTGCTGATCGCCTCCTGCTGCTCCTGCTGATCTCCTCCTGCTCATCGCCTCCTGCTGCTCCTGCTGATCTCCTCCTGCTCATCGCCTCCTGCTGCTCCTGCTGATCTCCTCCTGCTCATCGCCTCCTGCTGCTCCTGCTGATCTCCTCCTGCTGATCGCCTCCTGCTGCTCCTGCTGATCTCCTCCTGCTCATCGCCTCCTGCTGCTACTGCTGATCTCCTCCTGCTCATCGCCTCCTGCTGCTCCTGCTGATCTCCTCCTGCTGATCGCCTCCTGCTGCTCCTGCTGATCTCCTCCTGCTCATCGCCTCCTGCTGCTCCTGCTGATCTCCTCCTGCTGATCGCCTCCTGCTGCTCCTGCTGATCTCCTCCTGCTCATCGCCTCCTGCTGCTCCTGCTGATCTCCTCCTGCTCATCGCCTCCTGCTGCTCCTGCTGCTCCTGCTGCTCCCAGCCGGTCCACATGGGTCACACGAACGCGCACACTCTGATGCAGAGCAGAAGCGCGCACCCAGCAGCCTTCCTCTCGCGCCTCATCAGACGGTTGGAGGGGGAATCCCACAGCGCGAGGTGGGGGTAGGGGGGGGCGGGACCACAGCCTGTGAGTGCGCGTGCAGCACGTGGAGCCTCAGACAGATCCGGACCAGGACCAGGACCAGAACCAGGACCAGGACCGGGCCTGAAGTCTTCATGTCCCTGCGCACTCACATCAATAACGGACCGTCTCGTGCTCGCGCATCTTCCGGCCGTGAGGCTCTGGTCCGCGCGGCTCCTACCGGTCCAGCAGGAGCTGGTGGCGGGATCAGGGACCGGAAGTGCTGATGACCTCCAGTTGCTTGGATCACTTTGATGGACTCTGACGTCACATCAAGGCATAGGAGCACATCTGGATTGAAGTAACTGCAGATCTGCTGATGACATCAGGAGGAAAGATGTGAGCATCAGCAGTGACGTCATCCGTGGCCTGCAGATGGCAGCCTACAGCAGCCGTGACATCATAGAGGGTTACCTGCGGTGCAAGCTGCTGGATGGGGGCGTGGCCTGGCGTTTCCCCAAGCAGAGGCATTTCCCGTTCCCATGGAGATCTGAGGAGGGCGGGGCTCCGGGGCCCCTGCAGCTGGCCCTGCCCCGCCTGCTGGCGGCGTTACGGAATGCCAGCGATGAGCTAGAGGGGCGTTATGGCAGTTCCCTGCATGGCCAGGTGGCGGCGCTGTGTCACAGGGAACTCGGTGGCGCCACCGAACGACAAAGCCTGGCGCTGATCCGGGACGAGCTGTTCAGGGACGGAGTGAACTGGGGACGAATCGTGGCCATGATGGCGCTGGGAGGAGCCCTGAGCGCCCAGGCGGCCCGGACGGGCGAGACGGGTCAGGTGGACGACATCGCCGACTGGATGGAGGAGAGCCTGGAGGCCGCCGCACTGCGTACATGGATCCATGACAACGGAGGATGGGTGAGAGCTTCCTTCCTTCCTTCCTTCCTTCCTTCCTTCCTTCCTTCCTTCCTTCCTTCCAGAGGTGGAGCTAGAGGGCTCCAGGTGATTGGTTGTTCCTATGGTGATGTAAGCGAAATACGAGGCGATTGAAGAGGAACCAACCGACCGATGAACGTTTCTATCATAGAAAACAATCAGTTCATTCAATCTATAGATCTGTTAAACCAATAAACCAGATTCTGCAGTGAAAATCCAGGGATCCCTTCCAGCCCCTGAACAGATTTCTAGATCCGCCCCTGCTTTACCAGGAGTTTTCATTCTAGACTCCTCTTCCCCTCTTGTCTCCTTTCCTTACATGTTTCCTTCCACCCTCTTAGTATTTTATTCATTTCATTTTGGTCTCCTCTCCTCCCATCCTTTCCTTAACTCCATGTCTCCTTGTCTCCTCTGATGTTCTTTTCTTCTTCTTCTTCTTCAGACGTTCCTGTTTTTTCATCAGTTCTTCCCATTTCAAGGTCTCCTTCCTCCACTCATGGTTCCTCCTTCCTTGTCTCCTTTACGCATGGTTCCTCCTTCCTTGTCTCCTTCTCTCCTTCACTCATGGTTCCCCCTTCCTTGTCTCCTTGTGTCCTTCACTCATGGTTCCCCCTTCCTTGTCTCCTTGTGTCCTTCACTCATGGTTCCCCCTTCCTTGTCTCCTTGTGTCCTTTACTCATGGTTCCTCCTGTCTTGTCTCCTTCCTTGTCTCCTTGTGCCCTTGGCTGTGTAGAAGATGTTCTGGTTCTGGTGGATCTGTGTTGTGGTTCTTGGAGGAGCTCAGATGTTCTGGTTCTGGTGGATCTGTGTTGTGGTTCTTGGAGGAGCTCAGATGTTCTGGTTCTGTTCTGGTGGATCTGTGTTGTGGTTCTTGGAGGAGCTCAGATGTTCTGGTTCTGTTCTGGTGGATCTGTGTTGTGGTTCTTGGAGGAGCTCAGATGTTCTGGTTCTGGTGGATCTGTGTTGTGGTTCTTGGAGGAGCTCAGATGTTCTGGTTCTGTTCTGGTGGATCTGTGTTGTGGTTCTTGGAGGAGCTCAGATGTTCTGGTTCTGTTCTGGTGGATCTGTGTTGTGGTTCTTGGAGGAGCTCAGATGTTCTGGTTCTGATGAATCTGTGTTGTGGTTCTTGGAGGAGCTCAGATGTTCTGGTTCTGATGGTTATGTGTTGTGGTTCTTGGAGGAGCTCAGATGTTCTGGTTCTGATGGTTCTGTGTTGTGGTTCTTGGAGGAGCTCAGATGTTCTGGTTCTGATGGTTCTGTGTTGTGGTTCTTGGAGGAGCTCAGATGTTCTGGTTCTGATGGATCTGTGTTGTGGTTCTTGGAGGAGCTCAGATGTTCTGGTTCTGATGGTTCTGTGTTGTGGTTCTTGGAGGAGCTCCGATGTTCTGGTTCTGATGGATCTGTGTTGTGGTTCTTGGAGGAGCTCAGATGTTCTGGTTCTGATGGTTCTGTGTTGTGGTTCTTGGAGGAGCTCAGATGTTCTGGTTCTGGTGGATCTGTGTTGTGGTTCTTGGAGGAGCTCAGATGTTCTGGTTCTGGTGGTTCTGTGTTGTGGTTCTTGGAGGAGCTCAGATGTTCTGGTTCTGATGGTTCTGTGTTGTGGTTCTTGGAGGAGCTCAGATGTTCTGGTTCTGATGGATCTGTGTTGTGGTTCTTGGAGGAGCTCAGATGTTCTGGTTCTGATGGTTCTGTGTTGTGGTTCTTGGAGGAGCTCAGATGTTCTGGTTCTGGTGGTTCTGTGTTGTGGTTCTTGGAGGAGCTCAGATGTTCTGGTTCTGATGGTTCTGTGTTGTGGTTCTTGGAGGAGCTCAGATGTTCTGGTTCTGATGGTTCTGTGTTGTGGTTCTTGGAGGAGCTCAGATGTTCTGGTTCTGGTGGTTCTGTGTTGTGGTTCTTGGAGGAGCTCAGATGTTCTGGTTCTGGTGGTTCTGTGTTGTGGTTCTTGGAGGAGCTCAGATGTTCTGGTCACCTTCTGGGTGGAAGTTTCTTCAGGAAGTTCATGGAGATCCTTCCATCAGGAGAACCGATGCGCTTTCATAGAATATCTGCTGAGGTTCTGGATTCTTTGGAGTTCAGTCGACTCTGAATCAAGGTTCTGTTGGTCAGCGGTAGTAACCAGAACCAGAACCCTTCAGCCCAGTCAGGGTCACTGCTGGTGTCACAGAAACAGAAACCTGTTCAACCTGCAGACTGAAAGTATTTTGGTTCTGATGCAAAATAGATGCAAAGTGCAGAAAATCCCTAAAACTCTGCAGCCGCTCGCTTCCTGTTTGACTGAACCAGGTTTCTGCTGAACGTTCCTCAACCAGCCGACCCATTTGGACCATCTGTCCTTCATCTAACAGATGAAGGTGCTGTTGGACCAGAACCAGACACAATGGATGTTTGTGAGAAATTATTTTCAGTACTTTTTGATTTGGGCCATTTTTACAGGTATGTGATGATCTGGAGTTAATTTCTTTGGTCTTTTCCCAGATGAAGTTTCTCAAAGTTAAAAAGAAAAACAATGAAAATCACTGATGCATAAAGTCTGAACCATCAGAACTGGAGGAACAGAAAAACAGGACTAAACACTGGAAAACAGGCCAAGCTCCAACATCTAGAAACAAAGGTGTAATCTATGTAATGGGTTAGCTTCATCTGGATTATAGACAGATATAGCTGGGTATCATCAGCATAACAGTGGAAATTAATCCCATGCTGTCTAATAATTCTACCAATTGGGAGCATGTATAAAGTAAAGAGAATTGGTCCTAGCACTGATCCCTGTGGTACTCCACAGGTAACCTTTGAGCGTGTTGAAGATCTATCATTAACATGAACAAACTGAAATCCAAACCCTCATCTAAATTGCAAAGCCACAAAACTTCTTCGTTTTGTAACTTTGTTTCACTTTCTCCTCTGTGTCGCTGAGCAGTGCTGCAGAGGGCAAACATTTAGTTTATGGTTTTGTTGATGGGTTGCTAGTTCTCTGCTTCCTGCCTTAAGCCTGGTTTATACTCAGAAACCAGGTCGTCTGCGTGTGTCGCAGTTAACGCAGATATGCCCCGCCCCTTCCGCAGACATTCTAGTGCAGACAGGAGGCCTCTGATTGGTCAATTCTCCATCCGCTCTCCTCTATGCGTATTTCCTGGTTGGTTCCTTACCGGCTTGTTTTGTTTGTCTGACTTCCATTGTGGAAAACGACTGAAGATGGAGCAGCTAGCAGAGCGAGGTGTGCGAGAACACTGGGACCCTTCTTCCACCTGGATCTCCGATATTTTTGGCCCTCATGTCCCTCCGTTGTCACACAAACTTGCCCCCCCTTCCTCACCGCCTCGGCCGTATCTAGACCCACAGCTAGTTCCTGATTGGCCCTCTGGCGTTGTGGCGTGGAATAACAGCGCAGACCACGCTTCAATATTGGGCAGAAATCAAAAATATCTGCGACACACTGCTGGGGGGGGGCCTTAAGACAACGCAGCCCCTTTTAAAAAGAAAAACTTTGCAAATATAAAGCTGGCTCCTTGGTTTAATGCAGAGCTGCGTACTTTAAGGCAAAATGCTCTGAAACTGGAGAGAAAATATACAAATAAACAGAATGGTGCAAAATTAGTGATATGTATTAATATTTACAATATTTACAAATCAGCCATGACAGTTGATGAAATCCAAGGTGTTTTCCTTTATCCAAGGAGTCCAACCAGTTCCTGTTGGGACGGAGTTAACAGGAAGTGGTTTCCTTTGGTGGTTTTATGGGTTCACCAGTCTGATCCAACAGACATTCCTGGAGACGGATTCTGGAAAGAGATCCTGGAACGGAATCCTGGAACGGAATCCTGAAATGAAAACCTGACCTGTATAAAACAGGACTGATTGAATAATCTTTGGTTTTGTCTATCAAAAATAATCTTACCTGTACATGTTTCCTTATCACTGCAGCGGAATGAGTTTATATTATTAGCATTAAACTCAGGTGAGTATTCAATCATTTCATTTTAGCATGCAGTGATAGTGTTTAGCAATTCAAAATAATTCAGTTTAAATGCTTAATCCAGGTGAGTAAACATACTCAGGTCAGTTTACCCCGACCGAGGCCAAATATATGCTGGCAGGCTAGTGCTAGCATGCTAGCTCCTGAACAAAACAACCACTCACCAGTTCCCACTTGTCAAACCTTGTGATCAGATGAAGGTTTTAATCCACAAGGAAGCATCTAAAAGTTAAGAGGCATATGAGTGGAAGACAGTATTGCAGACACTTGTTAGAGGCGTCTGATTGGCTAGAATCCTTCCTGCATCAGCGTCTCCTACCTGAGCTATCAGCCTTATAAGCTGCTGCTGTCAGTTTAGGACGCTGACATGCCGCTGGTCCTGCGACCATACAGCCATGTTAGAACAGAACGATCTTGATTGGCTTTTTTTGTGGTTAAGAAATTAGGGAGAAGAGGATTTTACTTTTAAATAAATCTTTAAATAAAATAAAAAAATTAAACAGAATCTTACAAAAATGGAAACAAAGTATCCTGGTTAAGTTTGGCATCTATTGACTCAAGAATTTTAGATCAGAAAGGAAGATTGGATATAGGTCTATAATTAACCAAGTCATCTGGGTCAAGAGACGGTTTCTTAAGCAGAGGTTTAATTCCAGCAACCTTAAAAGCTTTAGGTACATATCCCTGTAACAGAGATAGATTAATCACATCTAAAATGGAGGAGGAGATCAAAGGGAATACCTCCTTAAATAACCTGGTTGGAACTGGATCTAACATCCAAGTTGAAGGCTTAGATGAAGACAATAGTTTTGCTAACACTGAAAGTTAAACTGGATCAAAGCAGTCTAAACCCGGCCAGATTCCATGACTACCTCAGATGCTGCCCCCCCCACCCCAGAGACAAACCAATCATAGATAGAGGAGTGCTAATGATCTTATTTTTAATAAGATCAATCTTATTTATAAAGAATCCCATAAAATCATTGCTGCTAAGAGCAGGTGGAATGGACGGTTCAACAGAGCTATGGCTCTGGGTGAGTTTGGCAACTGTATTAAGAAGAAATCTAGGATTATTCTTATTCTCCTCTATTAATGAGGAGAAATATGCTGTTCTTGCTTTACAAAGGGTCCTCTTATACAGCAGTAAACTATTTTCCAGACTAGGAAGGACTCCCGCAGGCCTGTGGAGCGATATTTTCTCTCCAGTTTCCTAGCATTTTCACTTTCAAAGGAGCTGCGTTGTCTAAGGCAGTACGCAGAGAACTAGCAACCCCATCAACAAAATCATCAACCTGTGAAGGGGAATAAGCTAAGCTTTTGCACTCTGCAGCACTGCTCAGCGACACAGATCAAGAATTTTAGATAAGAAAGGAAGATTGGATATAGGTCTATAATTGACCAAGTCATCTGGGTCAAGAGACGGTTTCTTAAGCAGAGGTTTAATTCAATTCAATTTATCTTTATTGTCATTGTCACAAGAACAACGAAATGCCATCGATCGATCAGTGCATATGCTTAAAAACAAAAATCACTGTCCCACCATTTACACGTAATATAAGAAATAAATAACTAACGGATACAAAACAACTAATAAGAAAGGTAAATTCTCACACACACCATCCATGATGATTAATGGTTATTTTTGGGTGCATTTAGTTTTGTTATTGCTGTCAGGTAAAAACTGTCTCTAAGGCGGTTGGTTCTTGGTCTGATTGCTCTGAATCGTCTGCCTGGAGGCAACAAGGTAACTGGATCAAAGCAGTCTAAACCCGGTTCAGATTCTATGGCCACCTCAGATGCTGCCCCCCCCCCCCCCCCCCCCCCCTCCTCCAGAGACAAACCAATTGTAGACAGAGGGGTGCTAATGATCTTATTTTTAATAAGATCAATCTTATTCACATCAGGATCAGATGTTCTGTGTTTGACACCTTGAAAGGATCCATGAAAAACCAGTGGAGACCCAGCCTGTGCCACACTTAGTGAGCAGGAATCTGGCTGTGAACCGGAACGCTTGTGTCATAAAATGGGACAGATGGACCCAGTATTCAAGGCCAGACAGTCAGTGGGAAAGTTCAAAATGTTTATTTAAGTAAAAAAACAGAAACAGTACAGAATCACGGGGCTGCTGTGGATCTGAGGACCCGCAGCGACTTCAGGAGGGGGGAGGGGCACCTGGCACTCTGGAGGGAGAAATGTAGCACTATTTAAATTGTAAAAGGACTAGATGGAAGAAATTCAGAAGACTAGAATTCGTCTCCTGGAGCCGTTGTCAGTAATCAATAAAACGACACAAAATAACTGCTTTCAATACCATGTATTAGACAAATTTAAAGTAAACAATACAAGACAACATACATAGAACCTAAAATAAATACAAAAAAAATATATACACAGTACTGTGGCAATCCTTTTGTTTGTGCACAACTGGTCTTAAATTCCCGCTGATCAGTCCAGAGTCTGACCCGACACACATTCAGAAACCCATGGTTGGATTATCCAGATATTTAAGTTGAAGAATGTCCCCGATGCTGCCGGTCCAGGTCAGGGGAGAACAGATCAGGCAGAAACAGCTCAAGAGTCCGTAGTCCTACCAGGGGTTCCGATCCACCAACCAACAGATAGATCCAGGGTTCCAGCAATCCTCAGAGCGTTCAGGCAGTTTCAGTCAGAAAGGGTCCAGGAGCGTCCCCAGACAGTAAGGATCAGTGGTTGAGGGACAGAGACAAGACTGTGTTCTCGTCCTTGGAGCCAAGCTGACAGGAATAAAACTGATCTTCTCTGCGTTCCGAGCCAAAACCCTGAGGGCTCCGTGGAGAAGGATCAGGACAAGATCAGAAGACAAGAAAAACACTAAAACCCTCTAAATCCACCAGGACACAAACCTTGGAACTAACTAAAACTAACAGAACCAACAAACAGACAGGACATCAACAGACATTAAATAATGATCTGGCCCAGATAGCTAGACTGAGCTGAATATAAAGCAGAAGGTTCAGGTGGATGGAAACGGACATGAATAGAGACCTGGCAGAAGAAAGCAGGTGAATGACATGAAGAGTTATGGCCAGCTATCAGGGCAGATCATGACGCTGCTCCTGATTCATCCAGATGTTAACTGGAGCCGAGGATAAACCTCCTGCTGTTCAGGCTTTGGACCCCATCAGACCAAGATCCACAATGAGCTACATGACAAAGTCACATGACTCTGACTCTGTGCTGATTGGCTGTCAGGAAAAGCAGTTTGCTTGATGTTTAGCAGACAGTTTATGTCTCAGTGTGAGAACAGGTCCTGAAGGCTTTTGCTTTCTATTTATACTCTGCTGCCTCTGTGGTTTCCTTTAGCTTCTTCTGCAGCCTGATAGCGTGTGTGAGTGAGTGGTGTTACCCAGAATTTTCTTTCCAGGTAATCGGCGTGGTCGGGTTTCCGCCTTAGGCATCGGATCAGCCCAATGGGTTCTGCAGAACTCTCCTCCGCCTGGGCTGACCTGGCGGCTTTGGTTTTCACTTTGAACGGTCTGAAGGCAGGTGTGTTGAGAGCTTCTCTGGAGGATTCTGCAGAGCATCGCAGCAGTGGGTGTGTGGTAGCTCTAAGAATACAGGCAGTGGTGAGACCGAGTCATTCTTAGAAATCTAGACAGAAATTTTCCATCATTCAGTAAGAAACCGAGTTAATTCTGGTGAATCGGGGCACCAGAGCGTTCGAGGAACATGGCAGCAATAAACAAGTGATCTGCCTCAGAGCTGTGAGGTTCTCTAACGGTCCGCTGGTCCATATTAATGTGTTTCTGCTCAGTTCATCTCAGGTCACTTTATAGATCCAGATCAACCAGATCATCCAGTCAGATTGGTTCAAAGTTTTCTACCGAGGGGTGCTGCTATGGTGTGGGGCAGAGCACATAACAGCTGTTGCAGGTTCGAGTCCCGGTCCTGCTGACCTTTCCAGAAGGTCTCTCCACCTTCATGTCTTCATAATAAAATAACACCAGAGCCTAAAGAGATGTTTATCATTTTCATATAAGGAAAACCAACATTTATTGTCATTTTATATACACTCTATGTACAAAAATGACAATAAATGTTGTCTGAGTCTAACTCCTCAGCAATCCCTCACACTAAGCATGCTTGAAGCGACAGTGGAGAGGAAAAACTCCCTTTAAACAGGAAGAAACCTCCAGCAGAACCAGGCTCACTGTGAGCGGCCATCTGCTGAGGCCCACTGGGGTTCAAGGAGACAGAAGCAGATATAGAAAAAGAAGCATAGATACAAAAGGCAACTGTCAACCAGCTCCACAGGCGGCCCCGTCCAGGAAACACACAGCCAGGCAGACGAGCTCCGAGCCAGCTCCCATGTCAGAGGATGAAGAGAGCACATCCAGTTAGTCACAGTCAGAGAAACAGGACTACACTGGAAAACAGGCCAAGCTCCAACATCTAGAAACAAAGGTGTTGATGGCAGCAGCACAGCTGATATTTCTCTCCAGGATGGAGTCACAGCCAAACAGGAACAGACCAGATGAAGCTACTATGAGAAAAAGCAGAGAGAGCAGAACGTTAGAGATTGAACTAACAGATTCTGCAGAGTGGGAGAATAGAGATAGAATGAAGCAGAATGATGAAAAAGGGGTCCCTATGTCCTCCAGCAGTCTAAGCCTATAGCAGCAGAACTATAGAGATATGCTGGTGAAGATTCTCAGTAATCCAGATCCAAAATTGAAAACAAAAAACAAACCAATGGACATTGTTTCCAGGTTTGAAAATATTTTGCTGCCCATCCAGGAAACTTTTTAATTCAAAATGTTGGAATTAGTGTTGAGTTCAAAGCTTTATAGAGTGGACCGACCAATAAAGCCTTGTTCACCCATTCAAAGGGGGGGGGGGGGGGGGGGGGGGGGGGCGTTCATCCGTTTCTATTTGCATGTTTTCTAAACTAAAACCAGGCTTTGTTGGGCTGCTGGATAAAATCTGGAACTAAACGCTATTTCTGACATTTTGAATTGAAAAATCTTCCTGGATGGAAGAGAAACGTCTTCAAACTTGGAAACAAAGTCCAGTGGATTGATTTTAACTTTTTAAATTATTTGGAATAACTAAAGAGACAGTCCTGAATAACCAAAGGAAAAACATCTGTTCCAACTCTAAATGTCCAAATCTCCCGTCTCTACCTGCTCATCCTGGATCGTTTTTCTTGAATAGAAAACTATTATTTACTGTATAAAGTGAACTAAGATGAATTTATTTAAATTGGAGCATAAAAATAAACTGAAACCAATTGAGTTAAAGCTCCATAAAAAACCAGAAGCACCAGAAACGTCTGAGCAGAGTTTGAGCTTTAGAGTTTTTAGCTTCATGCAGACCGGATGGAGCCGCTGCAGGAACTCTTATGATGTCGCTCATCCATCTAATCATTCAATGTCTTGTTTTCCAGGAGGCCTTCATGGAGATGTATGAGTGCAGACCTCCAGACACCTTCTGGAGCGTGAGAACCGTCTTTGGGATCGTTGTACTGGGAGCAGCTTTCATCACACTGGGACTTCTCCTCGCTCAGAGATAGGACCCGCTGATACCTGGAGGTGCTTCCTCCATCAGCTCCACTAAGGAGCCCAGTTTAAACCAAAGAGGAAGAATCTCCAAATGAAACGTTTATTTTTAAGGGACAGTAAACATGACATTCCAGCACCAGAACTATACGGCTGCAGTCAGCTGGACTGGTTCTGATCAGCCTCCAGTCTGTGTTGAACTGGGTTTCTGTTCTGCATGGACCAAAAATCTAAACTAAAACTCTGACCGTGTTCAGATGGACCAGAACCAAACCTGCAGGAGTAAAGATGTCTGAGCTGCAGGTGGAGCCGCTTCTCCTTGAAGGTCCAGTTCAGAAGGAACCTGTCAGCATCAAGCATCAGATGTTTCATTTAGCAGAACTTTGAGAAGCTGTTTGTTAGCGAAGGCTTAATAAAGGAAGCTAATCAACATTTGAATTCCAGCCAGAAGAGGATCAGAGAGGAGGAAGCCGTTTATTTAAGGGAATCCAGACGGATCCAGGCTGCTGCTGCTGCTGGGATGATTGGTGGGAGAAGATGGACGACCAGCTCGGCACCAAGGATCATTTTCACTTTCCTGGAACTTTGATTGACTTCCAGCAATTATTCAGATAAAGTTTGTGTTTTTGTTTTTAAGTTTTATGATTTCATTGTTTTTAGAACATTAAATGTAAACTGTTGTGGTATACTGTGATGAGCGTCCTCATCTCTGTGTTTCTGTCGCCACCTGGTGGTCAAAACAAAGAATAACAGAGAGTTGGAGGTTTGATCAGCTTTGCAGGACGTTGACTTTGGTTTCCGTTTGCTCTCATTTTGGACATTTATGCTTTAATGAGCAAATAACAAATAAAAATATATTTTTAAATGTAACCAACGGTTGCTTTTGGTATTTCTGCTCCTTCAAGTTTTCCTCTCCAGTGTCGCTATAGGATGATTTGTGTTGTTTGGAATAACTGTTATATTCTATTCCCAGCCAGCTGGGATTTTATGTTTCTGATACTCTAAGATGTTCATTGCCCTCCCCAGTAGGGGGGGTAAATATCTTATTTAATCAGATATTATTTCAGCTGTTATAGACTGTTTATGACACACAGTCCTACTAATTGTGTGTTAGAACAATAGATGAAAGAGTGATTCGAGCTCTAATCATGGTCAAACAGTTATTTCTGCACATTAATGGAATAAATTTACCACAACTTCTGTTCAAAATATAAGATTTTATTAACAAAAATCATTCAGCTCCAAGTGAAACATGTTTCAGTTTAACACTCTCAACTAAGACTAGTAAAACTCAACTAAACGAACTACTATGTACAAAGAGGAAGGGGAAAACGGTTGGAAAACATATTACAGTTTAAGATGGATTCTGTGTTTGAAACCAAAGTTTATCTGGAATAACTTTGTCATGATGGGTAAATGATACAAGCCCATATGCAGAACACAACGGAGTCTGGGTAAAAGTTTAACAGAGTTTATTTAAATTTCTGAAAATGTAGAAAATGACTAGAAAATGTACAGATTCAGGAACTGGTCCGGGCTGGTTCACTGAAGTCTTGACTGGGTCCGGGCCTCTCTTTGAGAGAGAGGGAACAGTTGGGTCCAGAGGCTGTTGGTTCAGCAGAGAACACAAAGAGCAGCAGCGTCTAGCTTCTGACTTAGCATGGCAGACCTTGATTTGAGTTTCCAGCTCCTCACAGAGAGCAGCAGGGGATATCCACATAGGAATCTTCAGGTAAATTCCACATAGGAATCTTCAGGTTGGCTCACCAGGGCTGATTGGCAGGTTAAGCTCACCCAGAGCTTCAGGCTAGAGACAGGTTTCCTGTGAGGCAAAAACAAAGGAGAGATTAGAATCTGATTTCTCACTAGAGACAACTAAGATTCTTTCAGTTACAGAGCCTCAGGTTGCTAACCAAACTAAGATCAACACTGTGGCGTCGAAGCAAGGTCTGGCAGCTGGTTATAAAGGGAAGGTCTCCTGATGAGTAGATGCGTCTCAGGTGTGCTGGAAGATTCCAGCTCCAGGAGACCCACGGCGCACTCTGCTGGAGGAAGGTGGTAAAGCTCTAGATCCCAACAGTAACTCCAGTCCTAACAGAAAACATAAAAAACAGAAGAGGATCCTCGGCACCCTCTGGTGGGCAAGCCTGAGGATCGCAACAGAGCCCCCCCCTCAAGGGCGGATTAAAGACGCCCTCTGAATAAGTCCAAGAAAAAAGAATAAACAAAAATCAACCCACCCAGGGCGGGCTGAGGGGGCACTATGGCAAGGAGGGCCAGAAACAACAAAAATAGAGTCCAAAAAACAACCCACCCAGGGTGGGCGGGGGGAGAAACAGGCCAGGAGGGCAAAAAACAAAAACTGAGTCCAGAACAAAAAACGATCCACTTACAAAAACAAAAGAAATCCCAGACAATTTCTTGGGCAAAGTCTCAGGTGGCTGGCCGTGGGACCGGTAGCGGGGCCGGAGGCGTAGCAGATGTTCTGGAGGTCGGTCGTTGGAACGGAGGCGAGGCCAATTCTCAGGGGGCCTGCCACTGAGCCGAAGTCGAGACAGATGCTCAGGGGGCCGACCACGGGGCAGAAGGCGAGGCTGATGCTCCGGAGGCCTACCGCAGGGCTGGAGACGAAGCAACATCTTAGGGGGACCACCACCGGGCCGGAGGCATGGCAGAGGTTCTGGAGACCGGCCGAGGGTCCGGCAACGGAGCAGAGTCTCAGGTGGCCGGCTGCGGGGTCGGAGGCGAAGCTGACGCTCTGGGGGTCTGCCGCGGAGCTGGAGGCGAAACTGACGCTCCGAGGTCTACCGCGGGGCCAGAGGCGAAGCTGACGCTCTGGGGGCCGGCCGCGGGGCCGGAGGAGAAGCTGACGCTCTGGGGGCCGGCCGCGGGGCCGGAGGCGAAGCAGCTTCTCAGGAGGATGATGCCCCAATTTCAGTAGGTACCCCCATGGGGTACCCCGTCCCCTCTTCAGCGGCTCTGGAACAGGCTCTGTAGCGACCTCCGACTGCGGCTCTGGAACAGACACTGAGGATATCGCAGACTGCGGCTCCTGGACTGGAACAGGGGAGCCCGCCGACTGCGGCTCCAGGACTAGAACAGGGGAGCCCGCCGATTGCGGCTCCAGATTAGGAACAGGGGAGCCCACCGAATGCGGCTCCAGATCAGAAACAGGAGAGCCCGCCGATTGCGGCTCCGGATCAGGAACAGGGGGGCCCGCCGATTGCGGCTCTGGATCAGGAACAGGGGAGCCCGCCGATTGCGTCTCCGGATCAGGAACAGGGGAGCCCGCCGATTGCGGCTCCGGATCAGGAACAGGGGAGCCTGCCGATTGCGGCTCTGGATCAGGAACAGGAGAGCCCGCCGATTGCGGTTCCGGATCAGGAACAGGGGGGCCCGCCGATTGCGGCTCCGGATCAGGAACAGAGGGGACTACCGACTGTGGTTCAGGAACAGGCTCATAGGAGACCACCACCTGCTGCTCCTGGACAGGAACAGAGGAGCCCGCCGATTGCAGCTCCACATCTGGAACAGGGGAGACCACAGACTGTGGCTCCACATCTGGAACAGGGGAGACCACCGACTGTGGTTCCACATCTGGCACAGGGGAGACCACCGACTGTGGCTCCAAAACCAGCAAAGAGGAAACCGCCCATGGAGGCACATGTTCAGTCTCTGAGGTGGCTTGAAGTGCCTGCAGAGGGTCCTTGGCGGTCTGAGGTGCCTGCAGAGAGACCCTAGGAGGCATAAAACCACACACCCCGAATTCTGACACCTCTTTAAAAGTCTGCTCAGGGGTCTCTGGACAGCACAGAGCCAACTCAGGGGTCTCCAGACAGCACAGAGCTGACTCAGGGGTCTCCAGACGGCACAGAGCTGACTCAGGGGTCTCTAGACGGCACAGGGCTGACACAGGGGTCTCTAGACGGCACAGAGCTAACTCAGGGGTCTCTAGACGGCACAGAGCTAACTCAGGGGTCTCTAGACAGTAAGAACTGGCTTGGGGGTTTCTAGATGGCTCAGAGCTGGCTTACGGCGACGCCGTTTCTTACGTCGGGGTTCAATGGAAACAGGTCTAAAGGGTTCGGGTTGACAGACGGATCTTGGAAAAAGGTTAACGGGTGTGTAAATGGGTTTGGACGCAAAATTAATTGGTTCTGGGTCTAGTCTAGCAGGATTGTAAATGGATGGTAACGTTTGTTCTGGCTGACAGAGAGAAAAATGAGGTGGCATTAAGGGGAAGAAATCGTCTCTATCCCCATAATAAAAATCCCAGAGATCTGACCTCAGAATGTGGGGAGCACTGACTGTCAAGGGTTTTGAGGCCGGAGACGCAGAAAAGCTAATTGTCTTAGAAACAGGAAGTACGGTTTTACTTCCGGGTCCTGACGCTGGGGAATCAGAACAGCTAACGGGCTAAAAAATTAGAGCTCCAGAACGGATTACTGGTTCAGAAGCTAGGGGAACCGAGACACTACCGGGTTCAGAAACCAAAGAAGCAGATGTGTCAACAGAATCAAGAAGATTAACGGAGTCTGAGGCTATGGGAGACGGTATGCTAGCGGACTCTGAGGCTAATGAAACTGGAGCAGAAGAAAACGGAGAGCAGGTAAATTCAGAGGATAGGAAAACAGATTTGCGGATATATTCAGTCTGGCGCGGAGCTCTAGCTGTTTGGGGTTTGAGTAGTGAACCAACTTCAAGTTTATTGACTGAGGGTGCTAATTGTTGATCTGAAAGGGGGGAGCTGAGATGGACGGAACTGACCTGGCAAGTAGATGGACAGACTATTGCTGCTGGCTGGACTACTGGGAGGATGGAGGTGTCAGGCTGAACCACCGGAGAAGGAGTGGAGGCGACTGGCAGAACCGCCGGAGAAGGAGTGGCCCTTTTTCCCCGGCGGCGGTTCCTACGCCTGGAAGAGGCAGAAGGCAGAGGCGAATTGACAGCTGCAGAAGGTGGAGGTAGGAACTCGGAGACATTTATTTCTAGGAGTGGTGGTCTGGGTGGAGGAGGTTCGTGGAGTAATTTGGCAAATGAGTCCTGAATGATCCAATTTATCAGTTCAAGGTGACCGGTTTGCTGATAAAGTGTCTGGAGTACTGGATATTTCCTTAAATGGCTCTGGAGTGTATCTGCTGTCTTTATCCGCTCCCAGGGTGAAGAGATGGTAGAGAGATCTTCTAATGTCTGAGTGATTGAATTAATTAATTGACTTGCCTGGGATTGTTCTGCTGGGTCCATGTTGGGTAATTCTGCTGGGCTAGTCTGTTGGCCGCAGTGTTCTGTCATGATGGGTAAAGGATACAAGCCCATATGCAGAACACAACGGAGTCTGGGTAAAAGTTTAACAGAGTTTATTTAAAGTTCTGAAACACTAGATAATGTACAGATTCAGGAACTGGTCCGGGCTGGTTCACTGAAGTCTTGACTGGGTCCGGGCCTCTCTTTGAGAGAGAGGGAACAGTTGGGTCCAGAGGCTGTTGGTTCAGCAGAGAACACAAAGAGCAGCAGCGTCTAGCTTCTGACTTAGCATGGCAGACCTTGATTTGAGTTTCAAGCTCCTCACAGAGAGCAGCAGGGGATATCCACATAGGAATCTTCAGGTAAATTCCACATAGGAATCTTCAGGTAAATTCCACATAGGAATCTTCAGGTTGGCTCACCAGGGCTGATTGGCAGGTTAAGCTCACCCAGAGTTTCAGGCTAGAGACAGGTTTCCTGTGAGGCAAAAACAAAGGAGAGTTAGAATCTGATTTCTCACTAGAGACAACTAAGATTCTTTCAGTTACAGAGGCTCAGGTTGCTAACCAAACTAAGATCAACACTGTGGCGTCGAAGCAAGGTCTGGCAGCTGGTTATAAACGGAAGGTCTCTTGATGATTAGATGGGTCTCAGGTGTGCTGGAAGATTCCAGCTCCAGGAGACCCACGGCGCACTCTGCTGGAGGAAGGTGGTAAAGCTCCAGATCCCAACAGTAACTCCAGTCCTGACAGAAAACATAAAAAACAGAAGAGGATCCTCGGCGCCCTCTGGTGGGCAAGCCTGAGGATCCCAACAAATTTGGGATCTGATCAAATTAGCTTTTCACTAATTCTAAAGAAATTGGAATGTTTTCAGACCAATTCACATTGCAATTCCATGAGGTGAATAAAACATTTGGCCAAATTATTATTTTTTTATTATTATTAGCTTAATCAGGAACCAGTAACCTTTAGCTAAATGATTCTTAGACGTCAGGATTCCACTAAATTACTCTTGGTCAGACTTGCTAATGGAAATGTAATGAGCATCTGAGGAACACATGAACACTAATGTTATATCAGGGTTTAACCCTGAAATGATGCTTATCCAAGCTTCAACAGCAGCTTAACACATGTTACTATAGCGTAGCATTCAGTTCATCCTGTTAGCTCTGTCTTTACTCATCAGTAAACACATGAAATGATCAAAATCATCAACAGACATAATGTTTGTTCTGTCCCTAATTGTGCCAGACATGCAAACCTCTGTCCATGTCCATTTGGAAGGTTGAGTTTCATCCAGCAGCAGCTTAGCAGAGCAGGCTCGCAGCAAACAGGGGTTTCCTTCTCCCATGTGGCTCAAACCAAGGAATCTTCAGGAGACGTTCTCCTCCAGTCCGGGTCTGTAAGTTCTGAAACTCAAACCCTCATGACTCTCCTTGGTCATTCTGGAGATCCGGGTCATTGGCCTGGAGCTCCATGGTGGCCTCTTCTGATGTGAACCCCTTGGCAGCTTTATGGAAAGCGAGAATAAAATCCTGTATGCTGTGGTCTTTACCCCCCTCGACACAGAGGGTGGTGGTAAGTCACACCTCCGGGAGGGGGTTGCCTTGTGGAAGGGGGGTTGCAGAGCAGGGAAGAGAGGCCTCTCAGCTGTTGGCTGCCTGGATGTGCTCTCTTCATCCTCTGACATGGGAGCTGGCTCGGAGCTCGTCTGCCTGGCTGTGTGTTTCCTGGACGGGGCCGCCTGTGGAGCTGGTTGACAGTTGCCTTTGTATCTATGCTTCTTTTTCTATGTCTGCTTCTGTCTCCTTGAACCCCAGTGGGCCTCAGCAGATGGCCGCTCACACTGAGCCTGGTTCTGCTGGAGGTTTCTTCCTGTTCAAAGGGAGTTTTTCCTCTCCACTGTCGCTACAAGCATGCTTAGTGTGAGGGATGGCTGAGAGTCAATCAGCCTGTTTTCCTTAGATAAAATCTGATCTCGCTGCTTGATCTGGTTAATCTGGATCTATAAATTGCCTTGAAATGTACATTAACTTGCTGCCATAGAAATAAAGTGGACTGAACATTTTAAGTGATTAGAACTTCTTTTGTTGTCATCGTTTTTATACAGTGTAGTTTAGAGCATCAAGGCTTTAACAGCAAAGAAGTGAAAAACAAGAAGGATTTTTTTTTTTTGGTGGACTCTGAGTTGGAGAAATGACATCAGAAATGGTGGAATGGAAACCAGCAGGTCATCGAGTCCACCCCAGCAGATACGTGGACTCGTATTCTGATGGTTCTGCTGAAAGTCCCGGGCCAACAGCAATGTTCCCGCCGTCTCCTGAACCCCCTGGCTGTATGTGCAGTCCAGATCAGGAGGACCTTCAGTCGTCATGGAAGCGGTTTAACAGCCCTGCTCAAAGGAGATGAAGATGTGGATTCCAAAAAATTTAAAAATCAATCCACTGGACTTTGTTTCCAAGTTTGAAGACGTTTCTCTTCCATCCAGGAAGATTTTTCAATCCAAAATGTCAGAAATAGCGTTTAGTTCCAGGTTTTATCCAGCAGCCCAACAAAGCCTGGTTTTAGTTTAGAAAACATGCAAATAGAAACGGATGAACTGGTCCCCCCCTTTGGAATGGGGGTCGTTTGGCTTCTTTGTTAGCCTGCAATGCCCCATACCTGTCTATGTCTCTGAAAGGGGGGGGGCGGGGTTAGGGTCATTGTTTGTCAGGCTGACCAGGCCAGATGTTTTGGTCCTTTGCATAGTGATGGGGGCTGCGATGATAGCGGGGAGGAATCAGCTCTATGGCTGCATTGGAAGTTTTCTAAAGCCGGAATCTGAGTGTTTAAGGTTAGTTTTTCTCTGTAAACATAAAGGACTTCCTTCCTACCTTAAACAGAGCGGTTCAAACCCTCATTCTGGTTTGAACCGGTCAGTGATGGACAGACTGAATGATGGAGGAGGAGGAGATGAGCAGCAGCTCCTTCAGGAGCCAAAGTCTCTGCAGGGCCTCCTAACTTCGGCCCACTGTGGGCTGAGATAAGATCTGTTAAACATTTTCTAGGTTATAGTTACCTGAGTTCATTTTCTGTTTTTAAACGGCAACTTGCTTTATTTCATCAGCTGTTGGTTGAATTTAAAGGCCTTTACACAGCCAACTGTGTGTTTCTGTCACAAAAATCTAGGTGATCTAGATCTGGATGTGTGCCTGCGTATAACCCCCCCCCCCCCCCCCCCCCCGGCATTTCTGGTTCTTAACGGAACCCCTTTAAAGACCTCAGAGCTCCAAACACAAACCCTCCAACCAGAAGCCAGAGGCCTCCTCCGTCCATCATCACTCAGCTGGAGGCGATGATAGAGACGCATGACAACCGGGATGACCGAGCTTTCCAGCAACCCTTAAAGGCAGCATGAAGCAGACACAGAGAGACAATCGATGAGAGACGACAGGTTTGGTCAGATGAAGGTTTATTGGAATCAGGAATGAGCTGTGGAGTCAGACAATGAAACAGAACCATCAGTTGGACCGGACCTGTTGGACGAACAGAACCTTGTTAGGTTCCAGCTGTTCTCTAATGTTAGCTGAACACAGAAGATGAAGCAGAAGCTTCATCATCCTCACACTGTCTTGGACCCACAAGGTGCTAAGGGGGACCGATTCTGATGGAGCTGATAAAAGTGTAAATAATTTTATATTCATTCAGAAACTAATAATCAAACAGAAACAAAAAGGTGAGAAGGTGATGAGATAAAAGGGGCCATTTCTATCCAATCAGAATCTACCCAGCTCTGTTGCTTGGCAGAGCTGGGTTGGAGGTTCTTCAGCTTCATGCTTCTATTGGACTGCAGGGATAATGAAACTGTACCGACCCCGGACTGATACCGGACTCTGGACTGATACCTGACCCTGGACTGATACCGGACTCTGGACTGGTACCGGACCCTGGACTGATACCGGACCCTGGACTGATACCTGACCCTGGACTGATACCGGACCCTGGACTGATACCGGACTCTGGACTGATACCGGACTCTGGACTGATACCGGACCCTGGACTGATACCGGACCCTGGACTGATACCAGACTCTGGACTGATACTGGACCCTGGACTGATACCGGACCCTGGACTGATATCGGACCCTGGACTGATACCAGACCCTGGACTGATACCGGACCCTGGACTGGTTGCAAGAGTTGCTTTATGCTTTGAATCATTATACGGGAAATTGGAAACAGGATCAAGGGTTTTGTTGGGCTGGGTTCTCCTAAGCAGAGGATTTCTTAGAAATGGGTTCTGGGAACTACTGGGTTTGGGTCACTGGGGCTTCCCAGTTCTACTTGAGCTTCAGCTCCTCTGCCAGACATGAATCTAGGTCACACAGAGCGGCGATCATAGTGGAGCTGGCCTTCTGGCCCTTGTTTCTCACGATGTCGATCACATATCGAGCCTTATCTGTCTTGCCCATGTTACCAACTTCCATCTCATTGTCCGTCAGAACCTTTTTCTCGAGCAACTTGTCCTGCAGCTGGTCCAGAGTTGCTTTCGAGACTTTGCTCACAAAGTCTCCCCGAACTGAGGTCAGCTTTTCCTTCCAGTCTTCTGAGTCTGAAGACGCCGCTGGACTTTGGTCTACAGGACCTGGAGGACAAAACAAAGTGAGGTGAGAACACAGACCATTGGTACCAACTCTACCTGCCTCACCTTAGTTTGAAACTCATTGGTAAGGAGGGAGAGAAGCTAATGCTTTAGAGCGCTAGCTGGCTGAAGCATTCCAATGCATGCTGGGTGGGGGGATTGCTGAAGAGTCAATATCTACTGTCTTCAATCAGCTGGTTTTCCTCAGACACTTTGAACCTTTAATCTGACTGTACAATCTGGTTGATCTGGATCTTTAGATGTTAGCGTTTTTCAGGTCTGTGCTACAAACTGCAGGCAGCAGGATAATAAAAGCCAACATATTCTGCCGGCAGGTTTCTGCATTTGAAGTTAATTTAGGCGTTAATAAACTGTTTCAGAGGAGTGATCATAGCGCTCTGCATCAGCAGTGCTGCGTCTGACTCCCTGCCAGCTCCCAGATCAGCTTCTCTCATTGGTTGATGCGGCGCGTCCAGCAGCTAAAGTTAGATGCTAAAGTTAAGTTAGTTGCTTCTGAAGCCTCTCAGATGCTCAGAAGCTCATGAGGCGCTGCTCCTGCTGCTCCTGCTGCTCCTGCTGCGCATCAAGGCGCAGCTAAAGGTCCTGCTGCATCTAGAGCAGCAGGACCTTTAGCTGCGCCTTGATGTGAGTCAATCATTGACTTTGAATGTAAACCTGCTGCCTCTAGTGCGTGCGGTCTTACTCAATTCAGTGGGACTTGGGTTGGACTTGGTCTGGTTGGACTCGGGTTGGAGTCAGTCCAATTGGACTCGGTGTGGCTGAAATTGGACTCGGTCCTTATGGACTTGGTCATGTTAGACTCAGTTTGGACTCTGTCCTGTTGGACTTGATAGAATAAGTCCAGTTGGACTTGGTCTGGTTCAAATAGGTCTGGTTGGACTCGGGTTGGACACGGTCCGGTTGATCTGAGTCTGGTTGGACTCAGTCTGTTTGCCCCGGGTTGGAATAGGTCCGGCTGGACTCGGACTGGTGGGACTCCATTAGATCCCAGCAGTTACTGAAATGGGTAAGGTTCCACATGGTGGAAACGGACCACTGAACCCAGGACTAAAACCTGTTCACCAGAACAAGCCTGACCTCCAGTTGACCCAATAAAACAGCTGGACATACTGTAAATAGATGACATCATCATGGTCACCATGGAGAGCTCCTCCCTCTCTGAGGGGCCTTGGTCCCTGTGGGCTCTCCATCCTTCTACCTTATGGGGCTTGATGAGGCCTGAGAGTCATGAAGGAGCTAAACGGATCTAGATGTCATGGATCTCTGCTTTATCTCAGACTGAAAACCTGAATCAGCTTTTGAAGAATCTATCATTGTTTTTGGTGTTTGGAGTTCAGAGGAAGGTCTAAAGTTCTTCTGTGTGACTCACCTTCAGCTATGCCTGTCAGCTTCTGGATTTTTGACACCAGGTCATTCCTGCTCATCTTTTGTAAAATGATTCCCATGACCGTGGCAGCTCCACTCAGCTGGTACTTCTGCGCCATCAGGTCCACAGTATCCAGTCGGTCGGACTTGTCCAGAAGCGCTTGTTTGATGGGGGTTATTCCCTTCCAGGTCTCCTTCTTCAGGTGCCATTTGAATTTGCGGAATTCATCATCAGTCAACTCATCCAGGAAATCGCTGAGATTCTCCTCAGAATACATCTTGACCTACAGCTGAAATCAGAGGAGAACCAGGAGTCAGAAGAACATTTCTGGAACTTTACCTAAACACAGGAACTCCAGGTGAAGCTCAGAACCAATCAGCTGCTAGATGGTTGCTTTCAGCATGAGATCAGGTTTGTTTGTTTACTCTTTTTGTGATCAGCTGCCGTCTTTCTTGTTTTTTATTGCCATCTATCATCTGTGACCTTTGACATGTGACATTTGTTAGCTCATGTCCACAGTCACATCGGTACCTGTCTGTTTGGCTGTACCTTTTACAGGTGATACTGGATCAGTGTCTGGTTGGATCTTCTTGCTCCACCTGAACCAGGAAGCAGAATTACTGGGTTTGTCAGATACCTTCAGGTTTGGCCCTGACTTTCCGGTCACCATGGTAATGTACTCTGAATGGCTAACCTGCTGCGGAGCAGGCTAGCATTCAGGATTGATGTGAATCCACCCAGCGGCCAACCAGCTGTCATGATGTCCTTTGATTGAAGACTTGATTTAAGAACTTAAACCAAACAACATCCCAGTAAAGGAACTGAAAATCAAATACTGTATTTATAAATTGAACAGTTTTCAATTTATTCATTTATTTTCCTTTTCCTCCATTTTGACAAACCAATCTTTTCCTATTCTGTATAATGTCCTCATCCACCGCTGGCATTCCCGGCTTTATTGTAAAGTTGAATAAAATATATAATAAAAATCAGAGAAGGGGATGGGTTAAATGCAGGTTAATTTCTCCAGTGGGAGATAAAGTTCAATTATTATTAATTATTATTATCTCTGCTTCTGTCTCCTTGAACCCCAGTGGGCCTCAGCAGATGGCCGCTCACACTGAGCCTGGTTCTGCTGGAGGTTTCTTCCTGTTCAAAGGGAGTTTTTCCTCTCCACTGTCGCTACAAGCATGCTTAGTGTGAGGGATTGCTGAAGAGTCAATGAGTCGATGCAATCAGCTGGTTTTCCTTAGATAGAAAACTTTGAATCAATCTGACTGGATGATCTGGTAAACTGGAAAGTGACCTGAGATGACATGATGTGAATTGGAGCTATAGAAATAAACTAAATAGAAACTGAATTGACACGTCATATCAGGCATCATGGCGAAGGATTTCCGCTAATTTCTTCAAAGAACCGTGGTGAGCAAGGTGAGTTTTAGTGACTGTCTGAAGCCATAGCTCACCACAGATATACGCCTGAGAGTGCGCAGAAAAAGATCGCTAATGGGACGGGCCCGTAAACATGTCAACAGAATGATTGACAGTTAGGAGGACCACTGATTGAGATGATCCACCCAGAAGGAGATCATCCTCTCCTATGCCTGTTATCACAGGCAGGCGATTGGTCCACCGGGTAACTAGTTGAACATTTGACAGGTGCGAACCAAACAGGTCCACACCTGAGGAGGAGGGAGGCTGGGCTCACGAGGAAATCAAACCAGGAACAAGAACTCCTGTGATTATCCTGTGGGGCTCCATTAGGACCTGTAACCAAGGGTTAACATGCTCAGACTAGATCTTTATGCGTTCCAGGTAAATTAACACTGATTTCTTACAGGTTTTAGCACAAATAATCAGAATGTTAGATGCTGGTGTCAAAAAATGAGAAAGACAGCAGGCCTCCCAGTGTGAGCAGAGGAGCTAGGAATGCTGCCTGGGGACTCCTGGTCGACTTCCAGAGAATCAGGCTAATGCCTGAGGTTCAACTTCATTGTCATTACACAGGTACAGGTACAAAACAACAAAATGCAGTTTAGGTCTAACCAGAAGTGCAATAGCAGCAACTGCAGGATAAATAATGGTTCCATAAATACAGGAAATGGTTCTACTGAGTATAGAGATGAATATTATTATAAACAGAGTCTTACTAATAGATGAATATAATATATAGATAACTAGTGTATTGAACTAATGGACCTTACAGCTGGATGATTACCGAATATAATATACAGGTGGATATTACTATAAAAGGGTTTTTACAGTTATGTACAGTAGCATATATACAGATGGGTTTTACTATAAAATGAATGAAAGTTTGAACAGAAGCTATCTGAATTAAAGTGCAGTGGAAGCTAATTGCATATTACAGTTAAAGTATGTTATTGCAGATGCAAATGTAAATAATTGGTGCTGTGAATAAACAGTCAACAGTGCAGATCAATATTCAGTCCAGGTGAGTAGTGCAAGATGCATGTAAACAGTTGTTACTATGGTAACAGTCAGGAGTGGAGGTGAACATTACAGTCTTGTAAAAAACAGAATAGCAAAATGGTGGTAGGTGTGAAGAAGGAGAGTAGAGTCTATCAGTGGGGGTTAGAGTTCGGTAAACAGACAGCTGTGGGGAAAAAGCTGTTCTTTAGTCTGCTGGTTCTGGTCCAGAGGCACCTGAACCGCCTGCTGGAGGGCAGGAGAGAAACCAGTCTGTGGACTGGGTGGGATGAGTCCTTCAGAATGCTGCAGGCTCCATGCAGGCAGCGTTTCTCCTGCTCAATGGTTGGTAGTGAAGTCCCAGTGATGCGCTGGGCGGCTTTCACCACCCGCTGCAGTGCCTTGCGCTCTGCAACAGAACAGCTTCCGTACCGAGATGTCATGTCAATCAGTATTAGCAGAATCCGCCTCATTCTTAAACCCCTAGTATAAGATGGCTGCCCTGTAGGCTGTGGCCTTTTACAGCTCTCGATAACAACACAAAATATGCCTCCTAGAACGCTACAATTTAGCGATTGATCTCGCATTTACGACCGCCAGCACTCGCCGGAGCTTTGGTCACAAAACCTTGCTTCTGGCATCTTAGATACAGCCATTCTGGACCGTCTAAAAAGCTGTGGTGGACTGCGGACGAATGAAAACAAAGCAACAGGCTGGAGGACCGGGCTGCGCCGCCATGAGATTCAGAGAAAACGATCTGCGAGATGGTGAAAGAGGAGCTGCAGAGGAGGACTAACGTCAAAGCTAAGAAGGAATCCCCAAAGACCACCGATCCAATCAACCCGCTTTCTAATCTCTGCATAAATGGATATTCTCTGACTCCAACTCTCCTCAAAGAGGGAGATCAGTAACTGCTGTGCCATCATCCTGACTCAATCACGGCTTCATTCATCGATACTGGACAATGCTATTAGCCTGGAGGGGCTAATGCTATACCGTGCCGATAAAAACAAAGAACTCTGCAGTAACACCAGAGGAGGAGGGCAGCGTTTGCATGTAAACTACGGCTGGTGTTAAAATGCTGGATCAGCCTCCAGCTTCTGCTCTCCAGACATGGAGTTTCTGACTGTTGCCTGCAGGCCGTTCTATTTGCCCAGAGAGTTCAGTGTGGTTAGCATCACTGCTGTTTATGTGCCCCCCCCCCAGCACTAACACTAAAGAGGCCATGAAGGCTCTATACCAGGCTATCTCTGAGCTCCAATCTGCACACAGAGGCTGTTTCCATCATTGCTGGGGATTTTAACTGGAAGACTGTTCTCCCTCATTTCTACCAACAGGTGGACTTTGCAACTCCGGGTGAAAACACTTTAGACCTGGTTTACTCTAACATCAAAGATGTATTCAGAGTACCCCCCCCCCCCCATCACCTCGGGTCATCAGATCACCATCTGTCATGCTTATCCCTGCATATAACCACAGCTGATCAGGGCTGTCTGAAAGCTTTACTAAAGGAAAACATGTTTTGTATACACTTTGTGGTTAGGGCATAGAGCTAGGAAACCTGAGGTTCTGAGTTCGAGTCCCACTCCCACAGACTGCCACTCTGGGTCCCTGAGCAAGACCCTTAACCCCACACTGCTCCCCGGGCGCCGCACAATGGCAGCCCACTGCTCCTCAAGGGGAGGGGTTAAATGCAGAGAGGGAATTTCTCCAGTTTGAGATCAATAAATAAACTATTATTGTTACAATTTTTTATTCATACAAAATTACAATAAAAGTTGTCTAAGTCTTTGTTCTGATTTAGCTAGGCTTCCATCCTAGCTAACAGACATGGTGTGATCTGGATCTATGGGTTTGGGAAAGAAGCGGAAACTCCACCTCCTCCAGATGTGCACATCTGTGGAGTTCAATGAGAACAGAGACGCTCCCTAATGAAACACTGGATGCTGCACAGCATAATGTTGCTTACAGCAGCTAAGATGGCTGCAGGGCAAACAGCCTGTCAGCATTAGGCCACACCCCCTCAGGCATGTTAAACCCTGTTTTTCAGTCCTCTATTCTGTCTGGTTTCCAATAACTTCAAATGTTTTACCGTAAATCTGTGATTGATTAAGACGTCCCTGTTCTGTGGTTAAAGCAGGCAGGTTGATGGTTTCTGTGGAATGAGCCCATTGAGCCAAACAGGAAACTGGGAGAAAGACTGACAGACAAAACTCAGGGCTGAAAAACTGAGATCTTGAGTTGTTATCTGTTTGGACCCTGAAGCTGAGGTGAAGCAGCAGAAACCAGAAACATTTGCATGCAGTCATAGTTTGGCTCCATCATAGGACAGAAAATGGGCTAAGCTGAGCTTTCTGTTTTTGTTTGAGCCAATGAGAAACGCTGAAGATTCTACTCACCGTTGTTCAGATGGGACTCAGCGGTGTGTTGACTCCTGCTCGAAGAGAAGCAGAATGCTTTCTCTTCGCTCAGAGGGAAAACTTGCTATGCAGGAAACTGGAGCTCTGCCAGGCTCCTTCCACAGAAACACTGCTGGAACGTTAGAGAAGAACCGCCCAGAAACTTGTTCTGACACATTGGCTGCAGGTTTTCTATTTAGAAACCTTGATTTGACATTCCAATGAACACAATTCAGAAGATGAAGATTCTCAGTCATCCAGGTCATTTTGAGGACCAAAATGTTCACATTCTGGATAAAGAAAATAGGTGGTTTGAGAGGGGCATGAAGGAAGCCATCTATGTTAAGAGAGAAAACAAGGAACAAAGCACTTACCCACTCCAGCCGGTGAACAATACCTCCTTAACAACCGACCCTTAACAATCATAGACAGGTTTCAGATATTACAGGCTAACGATGGAACCAAACGACCCATTCATCGGTTACCATTTGCATGTTTCCAAGCGATACAAGGCCTTGTCTATATAAGACTCAAACTCACTGCGGATCCAGACATTTGAATTGAGAAAGCTTCCTGGAGAGGTGGCGAAACATCTTCAAACCTTGGAAACCAAGTCCAGTGGATTGTTTTTTAAAGTTTTACGGAATGACTATTCAGAAGACCTGTAGGACCTGGTTCTGTAGGAATGGACTGAATTAATGGGACATGGACTGACCTGTGCTGGGTCTGAGTTCTTGAGTAATGGCTCCTTTAGGCATCTGTTGCTGAAACATTTTTCACTCTATGAACAGAGAGGCCTAAAATGAACGCAGCCAATCAGATGATGTAACGCATCAGCAGGACGGCCATATTATTTAGGTAATTCACCACAAAAATAAGAATTGAAAGCTAAAAGTTTTACATCCTGGACACCAGACTAAGCATCCTTGAGTCCAGACTAAACTTCCTTGGCTCCAGACTAAACTTCCTTGGCTCCAGACTAAAACTCCTTGGCACCAGACTAAGGCCCCGTCCAGACAAAGTCAAAACGAACACGAAACGCTAATATTTTCCAGAACGTTTGTCATAAAGACAGAGACGTAAAATAAATGTGAGCGTCCACACGAATGCATGAAAACGCTGCAAAATGTATGCCAGGCCTGTAAGTGGCGCTGTGGTGCCAAAGCAGAAATAGGCGACGAAATGTTGGGCATGCGCACTAATATTTATACATGGTTGCCCTGCGGGTCCATTTTAGTGGTTCAGTCAAATTCAGGTGCTGAACTATGTGGTCGATATTGCTCTGTTCTTCCTGGAGATATTCCAGAAGAAGAAGATTCTGTTGTAAGCCCGACAGCAGGGTGAGTAGCATTAGCAGCAACCATTCAACACAGTACGGCGCCATTGTTGTTGTGATACTGTGTCGCGCATGCGTGTTTAGAGGCGACGCTATGACGCATGCGTGTAAGAAAAAAATGCGGTTAGAGCTTAAAGATGGAAACGCGAAAACGCCGTTTCAAAATCTTCCCACTCTGAAGGCTGAATAAAATAAAAAATTGTTTACAGACCCCCGAAACGCCGGCTTCGTATGGATGAGAGGCTGGTTTGGTGAAAAATTTGTGCGTTTAGGCCAGGGTTCGTCTTCGTGTGGACAAGGCCTAAACATCCTTGGCTCCATACCAGGCGTTTCTAGACTATGCCTCCTTGACTCCAGACTAAGCCTCTTTGGCTACAAAATAAGAATAGTCCCGCACATTTTCATCTTCATACTTTGAACCTTGTGCTGACATATAGAATACTCCAAAAAAGTAAAAAAAAAAAAAAAAAAAACGATCCACTGGACTTTGTTTCCAAGTTTGAAGACGTTTCTCTTCTCATCCAGGAAGCTTTTTCAGTTCAAACGACCTGGATGACTGAGAATCTTCATCTTCTGAATAGTGTTCATTGGAATGTAAGCGATCAAATCAAGGTTTCTAAATAGAAAACCTGTGCCCAATGTGTCAGAACAAGTTCAAAATGTCACAAATAGCATTGAGTTCCAGAATTTAAAGGGTGGGCAAAAAAACAACAACCTTGTTTTGGCTTAGAAAACATGCAAAGTGAACCAGAAGAAAAGGTCCGCCCCCTAGGAATGTGGAGTGGTTTGAGGTGTTTGTTAGGCTGCAATATCCGATACTGGCCTATGCCTTTGAAAAGAGAGTCGTTAGGGTCATTGTTGGCCTGGCTGAACAGGCAAGATGTTAGGGTCCCCTGCATGGCGATGATAGCAGGAAGGAATCAACTCTATCGCTGCATTGTAGGTTTTTGAAAGCTGAAACCTGAATCCCCCCCCCCCCTTGTTTAAGGTTGGTTTTTCTCTCTTAACATAGATGGCTTCCTTCACACCCCTCACTAACCACATGTCTTCTTTGTCCAAAATATAAACATTCTGGTCCTCCAAAGAATGTCCTTTGTCCATCAGGTGTAGGTGTACTGCAGAGTCATGTCCAGAGGAGGGCGCTCTTCTGTGTTGGGCCATGCATCTGTGGAGAGGTTGTTTGGTTTCTCCAATATAAAGATCAGAGCATTGAGCTGCAGACGCCACTCTGGGGGGTTTGGTCTTTAGGATGAACTAGTCTTTGTTTAAGGATCTGTTTGGTTTGAAATGTTCTGGGATTTTACATTTGGAGAAAATTCTTTTGAGTTTTTCAGAGACTCCAGCAACATAAAGGATGGAGATGTTTTTGCGTTTAATCTTCTCACCGTTTATGTTCAATTCTATTCAGTTTATTTCTATAGCTCCAATTCACATCATGTCATCTCAGGTCACTTTCCAGAACAACCAGATCATCCAGTCAGATTGATTCAAAGTTTTCTATCTAAGGAAAACCAACTGATTGCATCGACTCATTGACTCTTCAAACTGCTTATCAATCCAGCAGATCATCACTTGACCGCCAGCGCCTGCTGGAGTTACGGTCATGCAGTGTATTTGGACTTGTATCCACCTCTACGCTCGACTGTTTACGTGACTCCGGAGTGCTCCGGGATCAAGCCCCGGAGGCCTGCGATGCAGCGGACTCGTCGAGCAGCTCACGCTGGAGGAGAGCCAAGCGAATGCGGTGCAGCCGGCCGAGGAAACACGGCTGTCGCGGAGGTTTAGCAGCCAAGCTAAAGGCTAACCCCTACAGACCATCGCTTCCATCCATCCTGCTCTCCAACGTATGTTCACTGGACAACAAAACTGACCATCTTCAACTCGAGCTCTCAGCAAAGAGGGAGTTTAGAGACTGCTGCGCTCTCATCCTGACAGAGACGTGGCTCACATCATCAATCCCGGACAACGCCATTAGCCTGGAGGGGCTAGCTACTTTCCGCGCCGACAGGAACAAAGAACTCAGCGGTAAAAGCCGAGGAGGCAGACTCTGTGTTTACATCAATAACAACTGGTGTAAAAATGCTAGAATAGTCACAAGTTTTTGCTCTACGGACATAGAGCTTCTGACTGTTAGCTGCAGACCCTTTTACCTGCCCAGAGAGTTCACTGTTGTTACCATCACAGCGGTGAATGTCCCCCCCAGTGCTGATACAAAGGAGGCCATGAGTGTTCTCTATCGGACTGTCTCTGAGCTGCAATCTACACACACAGAGGGCGTTTTCATCATTGCTGGAGATTTTAATCAGGCGAATATAAAAACTGTTCTCCCTCATTTTTATCAACACGTGGATTTCTCTCGTGGTGAGAACACTCTGGACTTAGTTTATACAAACATAAAAGACGCATTCAGAGGAGCCCCCCGCCCCCACATCGGCTCTTCAGACCACCTTTCTGTGATGCTAATTCCTGCATACAGACCCCTGCTGATCAGAGCAAAACCTACAGTGAAGCAGGTGAAGGTCTGGACGGAGGGGGCCATGGAGGCACTCCAGGACTGCTTTGAATGCTCTGAATGGGACATGTTCAAATCAGCAGCAACCTATGACAACAAGATCAACGTTGATGAGTACGCCATGACTGTTTCAGCCTACATCAACCACTGCATCGAGGACATCAGCGCAACAAAGAACATCACCACCCGAGCCAACCAACGGCCCTGGATCCGCATCCGCTGCAGATCCACCAGGTTCTGCAACAGCTTCTTCCCCACTGCCATCAGACTGTTGAACCTTTGATCCACAAACCAAACTCTGCACCTATTGCACATTATCGGGCATCAATGCTGCTGAACTTTTAACTTTTAGCCCTTTAAGTTCATCTCATTCTATTCTCAATAACGCATTTTTTGCACAAATGCCTACTTGCACTGAACCATTGCAAATTGCACACTGTCTTTATCCTCTGCACTGTTTACACTTTGACCACTGCTGCACTTTTTGTATAACACGTGCCATTTAAAATATCAATGCAGTGTTCATAAGCTGTATGTGACGCAATTTCGTCCTGTATGCACTCTGTGCATACAAAATGACAAATAAAGAAGTCTAAGTCTACCGCCACCTACCTAGCACCTACTTACCCAGTGACTAAGTTTATTCCATATTAGTGAAGCAGAAGAACTAAAAGCTGCTTCTATATGATTTATATCATTTCCGACAGTTTCAGAAAATTAATAGAAATTGATGGATGGATGGATGGATGGATGGATGGATGGATGGATGGATGATGGATGGATGATGGATGGATGGATGGATGATGGACGGATGGATGGATGGATGGATGGATGGACGATGGGTGGATGGATGGATGGATGGATGGATGGATGATGGATGGATGGATGGATGGATGGATGATGGATGGATGATGGATGGATGGATGGATGGATGGATGATGGATGATGGATGGATGGATGATGGATGGATGGATGGATGGATGGATGATGGATGAATGGATGGATGGATGGATGGATGGATGATGGATGGATGATGGATGGATGGATGGATGGATGGATGATGGATGGATGGATGGATGGATGATGGATGAATGGATGGATGGATGGATGGATGGATGGAAGGATGATGGATGATGGATGGATGGATGGATGATGGGTGGATGGATGGATGGATGGATGGATGGATGGATGGATGATGGATGGATGGATGGATGGATGGATGATGGATGATGGATGGATGGATGATGGATGGATGGATGGATGGATGGATGATGGATGAATGGATGGATGGATGGATGGATGGATGGAAGGATGATGGATGATGGATGGATGGATGGATGGATGATGGGTGGATGGATGGATGGATGGATGATGGATGGATGGATGGATGATGGGTGGATGGATGGA